GAATCTGAAACAGTCTCCAGGCTCTGAGCTGTCACCACAGAGCCAGACACAGGGCTTGAACTTGGGAATGGTGAGATCATGACCTAGGCTGAAGTCCAATGCTAATCAACTGAGCCACCCAGGTACCCCTGGTTAAAATTTCCACATCACAAACCGTAGATTGAAATTTTACAAATTGAGGTTATATTAGTGATTATGCTTCATCAGAAATTAGAAAAATTTCCAGGGTCTGTGAAGTTTTCTGAGTCAATTTACTAACAATTAAAATGTGCAAGTGGAAGATTATCCCTTCTGCCCTCACTGGATTAAAATCTGTGGGTTCCACAGAGTACTACCACCCCCTGCTGGCCAGTTCTGGAATAACAGTCTCATTACCAATAGATGTACATTCAGCTGTGCAAAATCACAGCCATTTGCCCGCCTGTAGCTTTTGTTATTACCATCTCAGATACTACAATGGAGCCAAACAAGATCTCCAAAGAATTCTCATTCCATCCACAATATTTGGAATGAAAACCTAGTCTTTACATTATTGTTTTTAAACATATTTTTGAAAATAAGTTTTAAAATTGTTATTCATTGTAAACAGCTGCTATTTGGAGAAGCGTTACTATCCACTGAAAACCAAAGCTGTTGGGTCACAAAGGAAGAACACAACCGATAAGGTAGAAAGCACCCCCAATGCGTAGAATTAGTCTGTTTGGGGTGGGCTCAGCTCTTGTCAGCTGCCATGGAAAAGTAATGAAATAAGCCATGTGTGGGTTCTCTTCACTACTTCACCCATCAGCGCTGTAGCATTCTGAGAATTTATAATACTTTTGGGTGTCACCAGCAGATATCTAAGGTTTCTACCAGTTATGAAACAGAAACCTGAAAGGATCCCCAGTGTGTATGAAACAATTAGGAATTTTAAATTTTTTTAAATTGATTTATTTATTTTGAGAGAGAGAGAAGGGAAGTGAATGGGGGGAGGGGCAGAGAGCCAGGGAGAGGGAGAGTCCTAACCAGGCTCTGCATCAGTGCGGAGCCCGATGCAGGGCTCGAACTCACTAAACCATGAGATCATGACCCAAGCCGAAACCAAGAGTCAGACACTTAACAACAGGGCCACGCAGGAGCCCCAACAATTAGAAATTTTAAAGTAAATATTTATTTCATTTTTACACTGTGGCCGTTTGGGGTGTATCTTCTTAAAAATATTTTCCTAACACCTTGCAGGTTCCCATCATTGGATGGGAGGCACTTTTAAAACAGTCGAGAAGGGTGATGTCCAGGGCCCAGGACAGGAGGGAAATGCAGACATCTGACCAAGCAGCCAGGAGCCACCTGGAGGGTGGCGACTCCTTCATGCCTGTGTTTGGGGTGTTGGGAGACTTGCTGTGCTCTTAGCCTGGGTGGTGGAGCTAGTATCGCTGCTGTTAGGCGGCTTTCACCACTTTCTGCTGGATGCATCATTTCAGGAATCTCTGCCTTTTATTAGCTGAGGTCCCTGCTGCGCAAGAGGCCAGTGCTGATTGTCCCCCCCATGGATGCATTTCTTCAGAGAAAGGAGGACGGCACCTTGAGGGAGATGATCCAGATTGCAGGCTTGATTGTCACCAGGAAGCCCTGAGAAAGAAGCAAATGATAAAATGTGTCCCCGGCTGAAGGCCCAGAGCTTAAGAAGTAATCTTCTGTCCTCTCTGTTCTTGCAGTGGGGGATTCCAGCCTCTTCCCTCCCAGGTTAAATTTCCTCCTTTTGTTTGGAAGCATGTTCACATTTCCAAGGAGGACTGTCTGGCTGTCATTCAGAGACAAAGACAGGTCAAAGGGAGTAGTGTGGTTCCACACCCCTTACAGATAAAATCGAGCCAGACCGGCCGGTGACTCACACGCTATGCCCCTTTGCTCTGAGGTAGCTCTCCTGCGAGGCCTGTAACCTAGAGCCGGTTGGCAGGAGGCTCTGGCTGGAGTCTGGTTGAGTGTGGTGCCGAGTAGCCGGAATTAGGGTCACTGTCCCATGGGCAAGACGGAGTGCACGCTTGGAAGATAACGCATGCTTGACTTGTGTTCACTGATAGCGGACTTCTGTGCTCTCTTATGCAACTGTACACAGTCAGCAAACAGCCAACAAACACGGATGCCCCGCTTGTGTCAGGCCCTGTGCTCAGTGACATCATATAATGGTGAGATGAGCCACAGGCACGTCCTACCCTCAGGTTTGTGCGGTGGACTTGGGGAGACCCGGAGGCCCAGGAGAAGTCACAGTGCCGAGCAGCAAATACTGAGGTGGTCAGGGGGTTCTCTGGGAGCCCTGAGGCAGCTCGAAGTCCATCTTCGGGTGTGGGAAAGGCTTCGCAAAGCAGATGACATGCGCCCACCCCTGAGGGATGGGTGGGGTTTCCCGTCCAGGAGCCTGGAAGTGGGGGAAGGTCAAGAAGTTTGGGTTCGAGGTGGGCATGAGAGTATGGGAATTGCAGGGCACAGAGCTGGGCAGGTGCAGTGGGGCTGGTCATGGAAGGTCTGTGCACTGAGCCAGGATACCCATACTTTTTCCAGTATCTTCATCAGGTTCTTCATCAGGTACTTCCAGAGGCCTCTTCCAGTACTTCCTGCCTTTCTCTACTTGGTTCTGGCAAATGGAATACCCTACCAGGAAGACAGTGTTGCCAGATAAAATACAGAGCCCCAAGTTAAGTTTGAATGTCAGATAAACAGCCAATAAGTTTTCTATAGAAGTCTATCCATACTATTATATTATTCACTGTTTATCTGAAATTCCAATTTTACTAAGGTGTCCTATGTTTTATTTGTGAAATCTGGCCATCCTACAAAAAGATCAGTATAGAAAAGAATGCATTTATCTGACTAAATCTTACCCTTTGGGGTTATAGACCCAACCAGGAGCTGAACATTAATTACATTAAAGACGTAACCAAAAATATGTCCTTAAGGCAAAAATGCAAGAATCATAAACCTCTGTGCTAACTTAAGATTGTTAAATTATGATTTATATTCTATAAAATGGGTTTGAATATGTTGCACGCATTGATCATACAAGAGGCTAATCTACGAATGTACTTGTAGAATATTAAAACACAACCACTGTGTCATAAACTTGATTGATTTAAAACTTATATTCTAGAGGTAATAAAGGTTGTCATTTAGTAATAGTTTTGATCGTTCAGTGGAGACGATTTATTCAATTGTCCTCTCTTTAAACACAGTTTTGCAGTGCGTTTTGCATTGCCCTCTTTTCCTGTGTAGAATCTGCTGTCGCAAACAGAAGATGAAAGCATTTTGGTGGCAAGGGTGGCACAGTGTGTGTGTGTGTGTGTGTGTGTGTGTGTGTGTGTGTGTGTTTCTAAGCAGGGAATTTGAGGCCTAAGGAGAAGCATCCTGAGAATCTGCCACTATTTTCTTTCTTTTCTCTGTTTCCCACAATATGCAGGGTGGTGTGGTGGGGCCTGGTAACCCAAGGAAGAGGGGAGAAGACCAGTCCCTTTCTCTGGTGACTGCTGGGATGTCATACTGGGGTGTGTGTCCGTGTGGACAGAGCCTGCAGGTCTCTCAGCAGGTGAGCCACAGCCCACCCAGCCACCCCTGGGGCTCCTGCTCCCTGAACAGCTATGGGCTGACCACCTGGGCCCACATGGCTGAGGAGGTGGGCGGGGCCAGATGGCCCCTCTGACACCCCAGGTGGCCTGTTCTTTAGGAAGTTGAAGGAACAATTCCAGCCTTGGCTAGAAGTTGTCCCTGACTCAGACCGAGGTGAGGGACCCCCCTGCTACCACCCAGGCTTTCAGAAATGCCCTCACTCCTGTTTAGGGGCGGGGCCCTGGCTCCAAGCAATGTATGTTCTGATTGCCTTAATAATGTAGTTCAGGAAATTAATTTTATCATTTACATAGTCTCAGTCAATGACTTGCCTGGAAAACAAACATCCCTTTTGGAGCATGTGGGTGGCTTGGTTGGCTAAGCGTCCGACTCTTGGTTTTGGCTTAGGTTATGATCTCATGGTTTGTGAGGTCAAGCCCTGCATGGGGCTTCACACTGTTGGCAAGGAGTATGACTGGTATTCTCTCTCTCCCTCCCTCCCTCTCTCTCTCTCTCTCTCTCTCTCTGTCTGCCCCTCGCCCACTCACTCCATGCTCTCAAAATAAACTTAAAACAAAACAAAAAACCTTTTTCCTGCAAAGCAAAACCAAACCAGAACTGAAAAACTTAGATTCAGCAAATGACAGTAGTTCTGGGGTTCCGGCGTCTGGTTTGGTCATGACTCAGAGACAGTCATGCTGGGTCACACGAAGTATGGAGAAGAGGCCAGTGCCTGTGGGAATATCCTGTCCCCCCATCCCTCGGCCCTCGATGTGTAGAAACTGAAAGGGGAAGGTTTGTGTCCTTTACTGCTCATGGGGAGAGGGAAGCACACCCCGGGTCTCCAGGCTGCCAGCTCTAGTATTTCACAAACAAAAGACTATACTTTCTAACAGCCACTTGGGACTCTGGTAAGTGTAACCGAGAGTAGATGTTCAGATTCCTGAAAAGTGCTGTGAGTCATACCCACTTTGGGTTTTTCTGGTTAAAGATCTGATTTTTTCCCTTCCAAACCCAGCATTTAAATGACTGGCCTAAATATGGGCTCTATTTACATATGCCTTGTGGTGAGGTCAGCTGAAGCTGGGGTGGGGGGGGGGCAGGTAGGCAGGTCCTGGGCAGCCTCCCCTGGCTGCAGCCACCACACTGGCAGGGGGCTGAGTGATCCCCAGCCTGACTTCTCATTTTGGATGGACATTGTCCACACCGGCACACACGTAGATCATTCATTGGATCATTGAAACTCAAAATAAGGTTTAGAGGAGGCCTTTCAGGGTAGGACTAAGGAAATACTCCCAGACATCTTTTATAGAGAATGGCAGGGGGCAAACTTGGCATGGGATGCCTCTTGTTCTGTGTTTAATTTAGGGGCACATTTCCTGGTCTGTTTTTTTGACTTTATGGCATTTCTGTATCGATTCTAGGGCTGGTTGCCATAAAGGATGCACACGATATAGAGACCAGGCTCAATGAAGTGGAGAAGTTGCTAAAGACCATCATAAGCATGCCCTGCAAAGTAAGTACCGTCTGGTCCGGCCTAGGGGTGAGAGGTCAGGACACTTCCTGCCAGCTGGTGGAAGTCTCAGACCATGGTGGGGGGTGGGGTGTAACCAGGGGAAAGGAAGACTTGTGTGGGGTGGTATGGCTCCGTTGTTTTCTCCTTGGGGAAGAAGCGGGACTGAGGGGCCAAGGAGGCATTGAGTAGGAAGAGATAGGGTCCTTCCATTGCGGTGGTCTTGCTTTCTTGCCTCTGCTCAGAAGCCCACTGCTCTTGCAGAGGGTGTTTTAGAAGAGGGTTGATGGGAGCCAAGAAGAGTGTTAGCAGATGAAGTTTGCAAGCTTTGCGTGGGGTCGTGAGTAAGAGCCTGGGCTTGAGTCAGGTGGTCACCACTTGACTCCCATAGTGTCCGTTTCCTCACTTGTGAACGGGGAAGGTTGACATACCACAGTTATCGTACGGTGAAGGGACGTGAGTGCGGAACACTGGCACATACCAAGTGCTCAGAAAAACTCGCCAGCGTTTCCATTAACCCCATCCCACTTGTCCCTGGGGCCTTCCGTTCTTGCCACATGGGGCGTGAAGTAAATGAAGAGCGTGCCCTGAGTGAAGCCCCGCAGAGCGTCCAAACAGTGTAGGGACGTCAGCATCAGATGAGGCCACCGCGATGGAGGATGAACTTTTAGTAATTAATGTACTTATTCCCAGTATTCTAGGTCAGAAGTTGTGCTCACCTTCTTTGAAAGATCTCCTTTGGATCAGGTGTTAAAAAATGACAATGTCCATAAAATTCAACCCAGCTTTCAAAGCCCGGTGAAAATATCAGGTAAGAGCTGTGGGGAAGACATGGGGTGGGGGCAGGTGCTGCTGTTGATGGCTGCGGTTTCCCAGAAACCCTTGCAGTTCGCTGTCTGCGTCTGTGGGATCCAGAAGGACAGTGCCATGGAAGGATGAAAATAGTGGGTGTAGGCTGTGGCCTGATTTACGTAACACACTGTTTTCTACCTCCTGGCCTGCAGTTTACACTTTTCCTATTTCCAAAGCGAGTAACATGGCATATAAATTGGAACATGCCTAAGAAATAATAAGTGAGAGGCATGAGAGGGTGGTTCAGTTGGTTAAGTGTCCGACTCTTGGTTTCAGCTCAGGTTATGATCTCACAGTTCGTGGGTTCGAGCCCCAAGTCAGCCTCCGCACTGAGAGTGCAGAGCCTGCTTGGGATTCTCTCCCTCTCTCTGCCCCTCCCCTATTCTCTCTCTCTCTCTCTCTGCCAAAATAAATAAACTTAAAAAAATAGTATATGATGAAAACATTAATGGGGCTTTTTGAAGTGAACTACTGGCATCAGGAGTCTAGCGTGCTAAAATAAGATAGTTTCTATAAGGTGGCAGTGGATTTCGTTTGAGGGCACCCAGGACAACAGGGAAGCTAGGTTAGACATCACTGGCCTTGATGCCGGTCCGTGCCTTCTAGCCCCAAATAGACAGACGTCCCAGCAGTAGGAAGAGTGAATGGTCAGTTGGGAGGCGCTGCAGGCTGGCTCAGCCAAGGGGCAGATGGCAAGGGAGGGGAGGCCTGGACTTCACCGTGTTTCGTAGCTTTCTGGATCTGGGCTGCATGTGTTGTTAGGACAGTAGACTTTTATTTTTGCAGTATGATTGTGGTAAAGGCTGCTGAGGGGCATTCTGTGGGGAAAAGCACTCTATCCTGGGAGCCTCAGGAGCGGGGCTCCCCCAGGCAATGGACGGTCAGCTTGTTTTGCCCTAAGAGGTGGCTTGCGAATGAGGTGCTACAGGGCTGGAAAAGGAGGAAAAGCTCTTATGAGAGGAGATACAGCTTGGCTGAAGGTGAGATCCTGCAGAACGTCTTGATCCTGTGGGAAGATGCGGAGGAGGGATTCTATGTCCAGCATTCTATTTCTGAATGGAGCAGGGAGGAGGGAAGAAGCAGCAGTGGAGGAGGAAGGCTCAGGAAGTTGATGAAGAAGAGTCCACAGATGACAGCACGTCGGAGCCCAGAGCTGTCTCGTAAGAAGGCATTGAGGGTTCCTGGTGATCGGGAGACAGTGGACACATCAGAATGGTGGTGGCTGATATCTTTGGTGGAAAAGTGTCCTTACAGAGCTGTGTGTCACACAGCAGGGGTGAGATTCCTAGTTTTGTGTGGTGGTGGTGGCGTCGACAGGATGGGCAAGTCCCAGGGCTCTGGCATGGAAAACACTTTGGATGTGACTGCGTGTGAGCAGGATGGCTGTTAGGCCTGAGTCTGTTGGGGTCTGCTACTTTTGATGTCTACCCAACATAGCTTCCTGTATGTTCTCAGAAGAGCAGGGTTGTTTGGGCATCTCTCCGTAGCTGGCACCTGACATCCAGAAACTTCCTTTGTAAGAGAAATGGCATCACTTATCCTAGTTGGGTATCTATGGACCCCAGTCCTATAGGGCACAGCCAGGGCTCCGGGAACCTGTCAGTCATGTTGGGTTTTTACAGCCGTCGCCAGGACTGTGGGCAAGTCTCTGTTCTTTAGCCCAGAGGAGAAGAGTCCCAGAACTGGTGTCTCTGTTTTGCCTTCTTTCTTTCTGTTTTGAGCACATTGGACAGCAAAAAGCCACAGAACCCTTTGAGGGCCTTGTATTGGTGTCAGGAGCTGAACAGTGGCGTCAGGCTACCCTGAAGGCCCTGAACATGAGAGAGACAGACTTGAGCTGCATGGAACTGCTCTGATTCATTCCTGGAATGCAGCTAGCTAGAACATTCCCAGCCCTCTGTCTTCGTTTGTACCTCTGTTTGTACCTGCGACTCGGATAAACGCAGGACCCATGTTTACCCTAAAGGGCTGAGACTAATGAGGTGAAAATTAACAGGGGTAAGTGTAGCATCCCAGGTGAGGTTTGGACTACATGCTCTGGGTCTGTTTGCAAGGACTGAGGACAGGTTTCAGCCTGCAGGGACACAGCAGGGGGTGGAAGAAACTGAAACAATTTTGTGTCGGCACAGAAGGCAATGAAGTCTGTAAACATCTATTGTAAGTCTATGCTGAAAGACTTAACACTCTACAAAGGCCAGGGTGTCTGTCAGAGACATCCCTCTCAGGGTTAGCAGGCTGAGAAGCATCTGCACCCTTCCAGGGAGAACAAGATTCTCCCATCTTGTTCACCAGCACTGATCTGTTGGGCACCAAGTCTGGGGCTCCTCCCTTGGAAGTTTCCCAAGCTTCCCATCTTTGCCTCAGGACTAGCCAGCCCTTACTCTGTCTGAATGAGTGCGTCTCACTGTAAATTAGTGTGTAGATGTGCAGGCAGTGAGGGGGCGTTTGCTCCCCCAGGAGGTAAGATGTACTTTTATTATTCACAGAAGGAGGAAACGAATATAGGAAGACAATGAGCCATGGTAAATTCAAAAATGCTTTTCAGGGAAACTTTTATTTATAGTAACATGAACAACCCTTTGGAGAACTAGCCTGCACAAGGGCAAGCCATGTTATTCAGGCTGGTTCCCCTGTGGGTGTTTATGGATTCGGGGAGCCTCAGGCTCTGGAGAGCAGGGTCTGTCGGGGAACGTGCCCCTGCACACACCCTGAATACTGAAGTCGGTCATCCTAAAACTCTGACTTCCTAGGATCATCCATTTTCTCAGGACCTTACGCTCATGGTAAAGGCCAACTGTCCTAGTCATTCCAAGCATGCCGGAGTCTGATCCTGTCACCAGGGAACTCTTTGCTCCAGACCCTCAGCCTCCCCTCTGTGGGGCTCCCCTGTCTTTTCTCTATTCATACAAACTCTGCCCATATGTCAGATCCTGCTAAATTCCACTCAGTGGTGAAAACCTGCTAAATTGCACTCAGTCATGAAAACACCCTAGCCTCCTGTGACTCACCACACCCTTCCTCCTCCTCTCCTGTCTGATTACTTAATGCCTTTTTATGCTGTCGATGTGACATTTATGGAGGTGGCACCATGGGGGACAGGCACGTGACTTAGGCTGTCAGAGGCTTGCTTCCCTTTACAGGGAGGCAGGCACACAGGCTCTGAACCCACAGCCTCTTCTTTCTTTTATTGAGACAGCCTTGTGGTCAGGACTCCACTAGATGGCGCCAGGCACTAGCAACGTGGGAACCAGGCTACATCCTGGGGCCCCAGCAAGGCAGTCAGGAATCTCTGTGGCCCTTTCAGGGATGCTTTGGGCCAGTACAGCCTTAAAGATTCTTCGTCCCATGTTAATCTAAATGTTTATGGAATTAAAAAAAACTTATAGTTTTTTTTATGTTTTATTTCAGAGAGAGAGAGAGAGAGAGCGTGAGCAGGGGTCAGAGAGAGAGGGAGACACAGAATCTGAAGCAGGCTCCAGGCTCTGAGCTAGCTGCCAGCACAGAGCCCGACGCGGGGCTCGAACCTACGAACTGTGAGATCATGACCTGAGCCGAAGTCGGACGCTTAACCGACTGAGCCACCCAGGCGCCCCAATATAGTTTTCTACACTATGGGTGTGTCTGTGCTTTTAAGCATAAACCCCAGCCGAGATTTTGGACTAATCAACATAAGCCATAAAAATATAATTTATTCAGGTTTGGGGCTACTGGAAATGAACTATAATTTCATATTTCATTAACCAAGCATCTGTACAATCTCAACTCTAATTTTCACCTTACAAGGTTAGTCCAGTAGCCAATTAATTAAGAGGTGGGTACTTTGGGACTGCGCTGAAAGTATAAGGGGAGAGAGGATTTGGATGGACGGTGGCTATACTATGAATGCTTTCAGAAATGAGCTAGTGTCTGCTGAAAAAGAGGAATGTAGGAATTACTGAACTGAAGGAATGATGGCCTCAGGGGCATATGAAAACATGGCTACAGCTAAAACTATAGTAAAGTCGTCACCAGACAAACGCCACAGTAGTACAGTTGACCCTTGACCAACACGGGAGTTAGAGGCACCCACCCCCCACAGTCGAAAATCCATGTATTACTTTGACTCCCCCAAAACGTAACTACTGGTAGTCCAGTGTTGACCAGAAACTTTACCAATGACATAAACAGTTGACAGCATGTATTTATATGTTATATGTATTATATACTATAGTCTTATAAAAGTAAACTAGAGGAAAGAAAACATTATTAAGGAAATCATAAGGAAAAGACATTTACAGTTCTGTACTGTATTTATCCAAAACCAAATCCACATATAGTGGACCCACACAGTTCAAACTTGTATCGTTCAAGGGTCAGCTATAATCGTTGCAGAAAAGATCCATTGGTAGATGGTGGGGAGAAGTTTGAGGTTTTGCACAGTCTCAGTGCATCTCCCCTGAGATATTTATTAACCACAAAGAGAAAGAGTAAAGGTGGCAGAAACTTCTTATGCAAGCAAACCTGATGGACATTCTGGAAACAAGGCCTGTTGACAGCAGACACCCCCTGGCAGGATGCACGTTGGGGACGCAGGGTCAGCCTGCAGGATTCCTGCCTGGAACGCACCACCTTGGTCACATCGCAAAAGCATCAGGCAAATCCAGGGAGCTTCGATAAAATACCTCACAGTCCCGCCCAAAGTGTTGCTTTCATGAGAGATGAGAGGAGAGATTGAGAACCGTCAGAGGTTGTACAAAACTGGGACACAGCAACTCAAGGCAATAAGGGGTCCTGGATTGGATCTGGAACAGAAAAAAAGGGGGACATCAGTGAAAAAGCCTGTGACACTCAAGTAGGGGAAGTATTTAATTATATCCAGTTTTCTTCACAGCACCATAGTTATGTAGAATAATAACATCAGGAGAAGCTGGGGGAAGTTCTGTGAGAACTCTATACTGTTCTTGTAACTTTTCTATAATTCTAAAATTAGCTTAAAATAGAAAGTTAAGAAATGGCAAAACAGAACTCTTCGTGTGAAAACATATATGAATGCAGAAAAGTAGCTTGAAAGTGCACTACTTCATGGAATCAGTCATGTATGTGATTAAAGCAGTTACACTGGCCAGCGATTTTTGCTATAGGTACTAAGCTGACTCCTAAGAAATTCACATTTAAATATGTCTGAAGATAGGCTTCGGAGGTTAACACTTTTCTGTAATCATAACATTTTCTTTGGTTCTTTCTATTTGCATGACATGACAGATACTAAGACGTTAGCAATAATGATATCTTCACTACTATTATTCAAACCCTCCACATTTGTTAGATTCTTTACAAATACTGTCTCATGTCATCTCCACCTATGTCTTTTGGGATGGGTACCATTATTCCTATTTTGCAGATGAAGAAACTGAGCAAGAAGTAACTTGTTCCCCAGGCACAAGCAGCAGAACTAGAGTTTCCAGCTTGCCTTGCAAACAATTAGACCACATGATTGTGTACAGAGGTTTCTTTGCCTAGGCAGTTAAGGGATGATTTGTTACAAATCTGTTCTGGGGGATGGGCAGATTCCATGTTTTAGAACTCCAAATTTCACATTTAAGAAAGATTAGGAAGTTCAGAAGGTCCCATGCAAGGCAACTCTTCAGAAACGTGTTCAGAAATGTTTTGCTGAATCTACATTTGTTTTCACTTGTAGGGTTTTCCCCTCCAAATTCCCTTAGCAAAGGGGTGGGAGAAGGGGTGGGAAGCTGTCAGTTGGCTGAGGTTTTATGTGCTTCTGAGACAGACATATTTGAGTCAGTTAGTAAAACTCAATAAAGCAAGTGGTTCTTTGCTGCCATGCATTTTTATTTGAGTGGCGAGGGAATCTCAGTCTTTCCTGTTAAGAGTTAGTCATCTTCAGAGTCATCTTCTCTCACACAGAAATGCCATTGCTCCCAGAGGCTCCAAGCACTGACTTCTCCTTGGGTTTTGGTGCTCCATCTAGTGACTCAGGCTCTCCATGAGTCTCCATGCTTGTTCTTGCACAGGGAAGGCGGGTGGGCACCAGGTGGGCTGGCTTCGACCTGGTGGGGTGGGCAGGAAGAGCAATGTGCTGATGTCACCCAGAGTGTGACTAACTGGGCTGGTGTTTCAAAAAACCAAAGGAACTTGAGCTGTCATTTCTGCAGAAAGTCAAGAAGATATTTTAGCAATTCCTAGGCAAATCTGACTGCGCAAGAGTCATTTTAGTCCTGTGGGGGTAAGGAGGAAATCTCCCATTTTTCTTTGTTCATTTTTGTGTAGTTTCCCTAATTCTCTTAGTATGGAGAAAAATTCGGAGAACTGAGAACCAATACCTAGAAAGATTAAAAATAAATAGGAAGTTATAATTATACTTATGAAAACAAATCCATGCATGGGAATAAAATAATCTAAATTATTTAATCTAATAATACAAGATATAAGGAAAAAAAAAAAGAAACAGTCCCCCAGACAACTGCATCAGATGCCCACTGAGATTGTGGACAGTGAGGGATGTCTTGCTGGCTGGGATAGGCCAGTAGGAGAGGGAAGATATGTCGAGCTGTGTGTGTTTCTATGTGTTAGACCTTGAATGGGAAAATATTAATCCTTCCAATTTGAGAATGCCGCAGAAATTTGGAGTCTATTGTAAGCATTTTTAAAAGTTTATTTTTACTTATTTTGAGAGAGAGAGAGAGAAAGGAAGCAGGGAAGGGACAGAGAGAGAGGGAGGCAGAATCCCAAGTAGGCCCCGCACTGTCAGTGCAGAGCCTAATGCGGGGCTTGACCTCATGAACTGTGAGATCATGACCTGAGCTGATACAAGAGTTGAACGCTTAATTGACTGGTGCCCCTTAAGCATGCTTTTTAAGGTGAAGTAAATAGAAGGCCTGATTTGAGAAGACAGACAAGGGTCATGAACATGAAGCTTAGCTAAGAGCTGAGGTTAGGAGCTAAGCCAGCCTCAGAGAGGGCTGGAGAACTACAACAAAGAGAACTGGTAATGGCTACCAGATATATTCTTGGAGTGTGTTTAACCTACTAAAGTGACAGAAACACATTCCCTGGGGAAATGTAAATACAAGCTACACCAGATATTACAGGTGAATCAAGCCACACTGGCTCCTCATACTTAAATGGACCAGATGACGTGATGGAATCTGGAAGTTCATGGGAGTTCAGAGTTGAAAGGCTCCTTTCAAAGGAGATCACTATTCTGAAATTTTCCAGTTGAGGATGCTGAATCCCAAGACCATGGAACTCATTGTTGGGCTGAGCCGCAGTGTCTGGGCCCCGAGCTGGTGCTGTTTCAGCTACCACCCATTCATGCATCCCTTTTCTTTCCTCTCCCAGTGCTGGGTAAGCACCAGACTTCCACCCTCAGAAGCTAACCCCAAACAGCCTATGTAGGCATATGAAGACGTTTTCTTTGTTGGCCTTTTTAATTACCAAAATTTGTGCTTGCAGGTAAAAAAAAAATCAATTTGTGTACAGAATTATATAAAGTAAAAAAGTGAATTTGCCCATTGGTTTAAAATGCATATTGATCTCAGGGTGCCTGGGTTGTTCAGTCGGTTAAGAATTTGACTCTTGATTTCGGCTCAGGTCATGATCTCATAGTTAGGGAGCTTGAGCCCCACAACAGCCTCTGCTGACAGCACAGAGCCTGCTTGGGATTCTCTCTCTCTCTCTCTCTCTCTCTCTCTCTCCCCCTCCCATCCCCCGCCCCTACTCTGCTCGCACACTCTTTCTCTCTTAAAATAAATAAATAAACTTAAATATAAATATAAATGCATACTGATCTCATTTGACCCTCACAGCAACCCAGGGTGGTAGACAGTGTTATCCACATCTCAGGCACAGGGGAGATTGGATACCCTGTGCAGAGCCTCATGGCAGTGTGTGATGGACCCGGACCCAAACCCAGACCAATAGATTGGAGCTCAGTACTCTTTATACCCCAGCTTTAAACCAATGGGGAAGGCATCTGGACAGGGCTGGTACAACCAGGGCATCTTTCTCGGGGGTAGCAGTGTGCTTCTTGGCCTGTGTGGGGCCCACAGGTGTGGTTTCTGTGGAGGTTGGCATCAGCTCCTGAATCTGTGTGACAGAGCTCCAGAATGGGCCTCTGGGGTGCAGAATGTTCTCTCACAGTGTGGGGGAGAATCTGGGGCAGTAGACAGAGGGGGATGTCGGGAGATTGATATAAGCCCAAAACTTATGGCCTCTCTTGCATATTTACTTTGTTGCTCTCATTTTTCAGAAATCATGAGGTCCAATGGATTTTGCTTAGCAAATACAGAAACAATTGTTATTGACCACAGTATACCAAACGGAAAAGACCAACACCTGGGTGTGGATCCCGCAGAGCATTTGTAAGTACATTGATTTGAATATAATTTTATAGAAGGGCTCCCTGAATGGTCAGCTGGTGCTGGGGGCTGGGGCTCACTGCCCAGCCAGAGCTCTAGAGGAAATAGATATGGCCAGATCATTGAGGCATCCTACCTGTATTTGGATTCTTATCTAAATACCTAATATCTAATGTTTGCCTCTTCTAGGGGACAGTGAGAGCTTGATAAATAAACCCTTTGGGAGCAAGCAGCTAGCTGTGAGGGGGCATTGAGGAGAGGTTGCCAGGCTTCAGGTCTGTTCTGTGCTGGGCCCTGAGGGGCTATGGGGGCTGTAGGCCTCCTCACTCAAAGGGCCTGGTCTCCTGGGATGGGAGAAGCATCACCTGCATGGTCTTACATCGCAGGGCTGGAGGTTCTCCTGACTCTGAGGTGCCCTCTGTGTACCCATGGGCTAAGGCCTGGCCCTGCTGGGCCTGCTGATTAGTGGAGTCTGATTAGTGAAGGTGGGACCACCAGCCACACCACTGCCTCCCCTGTTCTTCCTCTAATAACAAGGAACTTTGACCATAATAAGTGCTCTAGGAAAGTCCAACACCTGGGGTCCCCGAGAGGCACAGCCTCCATCATTGGTGCACATCCAGGTCATGTCCTTGGGGATCCTTGGGAGGCAGCTTGAGGGGACATCACACCTTGGCTTCTGTTGACCTCCCAGGCCAATCCCAGGGCTCTTCCTGGTTGTGTGAGCTTCAGAAAGCTATTTAACCTCTTCCAGCTTCTCTTCTCTTCAGAGTGGGGCCCACTATGGTCTCACAGGGTCATTGTAAAGATCTCAGATGGTGACTGTGAGACATTCGGCCCAGGAGCCCCCGCAGGCAGCTCTGAGTGCTCAGGGTCTCCCTGTGGGTGATACATGGGCAGCACAGCCCGGGATCAAGGGGCCTTGGAGTCCTACATCCTGCCCCAGCCGCTGAGCTGCAAATAAAAATGAACTGAGATTCATGTGCTGAGACACACGCAAGGCCAGCAGACTGCAGAGCAGAGCATGACCCCAGGATGTACAGGTGACCGGAGCTTCCTCTACTGGACCCCTGCTGTGTCACACAGCAGGAGCCTTGTCAGGCCCGTGGAACTGGCTCTGGCCAACAGCGCCCACTTGCCTAGGTGGATGGGATCCCTCACAATGGCGATGTCATGAAATGCTTGTGTAAAAGGATATGCTCGTGAGGCTGTAAGGGGTGGCCCTTCTTTGAAATGCTATTGTCTCTTCTGCATGGCACCACATGGCATTGCACCCACTGTATGTGTATATAGGTAGCTCATAGTTCTTGACCTAAAGGTCTTCCATGCTGGCACAGGGCTGGCACCATGGGGAAACAAGATGGCTGTATATTAAGCAGGGTGATGGAAAGGAGAGGACTTTTAACTTCACAGGAGGAACTTCTGGTGAGGGCGTATCTTGGCAGAGGAGAAACAGGTGGAGACCCTTCCTCATCACCCTGCAGGGTCCTGGCTCTGGCCCCACAGTCTTCCCAAGGGGGACCATTTCCACCATCAGGAGGCCTAAGGAGGCCATCTCTGCACCTGGCCCAATTTGACAAGCCAGTTGAACTGTGCATAGTTCTGCTGAGGAGAGGCACTCAGAGAGAAAGCAAGGGTGGTCATGTGACCCCCGCGGCTTCACATGGACAAGCATGATACACCCCCAGTCTGTGGCCCCCTGACTCCAGGATGCCCAGCTGGCAGGAAGTGAGCAATAAAAAGCCCTGTGGTACCAGAAAAGCTTAACAAAGAAATGTCTGCCTCCACACGGCTCAGGGGAGCATTTAGAGGGAATTCCTGACTGGGGCTTGCCAGGGTTTTTTCTAGGTGCCTAATGTAGAGCAGCACAGCTGAGCTAACGATCTGCTGCTGGGCTCTCTCAGAAGCAGCCTGTTTTAACACTGCACAGGGCTTCCAGGCAGGTGAGGGAGGTGACGATGGGGTGGGAGGTCACAGAGAGATGATGAGTGAGTAACAGGGCTCTGCCTCCCTGCCACAGCTGTCCTCGGTGGTACCCAGGCGTGACCATTTGGCCCCAACACGGTGAATTTGGTGCTGTCAAGCCTGCCATTAGGACCTGTGCCGTAAAGCCAAGCAGGCAGTCTCCATGCTTCCGTGGGAGGGCAGGTTCCAGTTCACAGGACAGGGACACCCCACTGCATTCAGGGAATGGGAGGGATATGCCTAACAGAGATGTGAGTCAGCGTGACAGTGGGGCCTCTGCCTGGTGACCATCCTAGCTGGCTGGAGTGGTGGCCGGGCTTCCAGGAAACTCACTCAGGGATGAGGCAGCCCCCAGTCTGTCCTCACAGGTTAGGAGCAGACGTATTTGCCACACCTGGTGAGGGCCATTGGGGGCTGACAGGGCCACCGGACTCAGCCTGGTGACTCACCTTCCCCAGCATCCCAGCCCCCCTCCCAGCCTGGGTTCTCAGGGTCACCTGACCTGAGGGCAGGTGGTGTAGGAAAGGGTGAGAAGCTGTTCCCACAGGGCTGCATCTTGGTTCTGTCCCTCCCCTGGCTTGAGCCTTTCTCTGCACCCAAAAGTCCTCTTTTTATTCATTCCAATGCTGCTTTTCCCGAAGAGACATCACATCCTGTAATATAAAATTGGAGAGTAGGTCTTCTCTCCACCAGACATGCTGCCTGGCTGGCTGCGCACACTCACATCCACAGCTACATCTCTGGAGCTACCACCGGGCGGGCAGAGTGAGGAGGAGGAGCGGGGGGTGGGGGGGGCAGCCCTTCCCCTGCACGTGCGCCGAGGCCCCACACATACACACCCCCCCCCCCCCCCCGGAGTTAAAGAAGACGCACCTCTGTGGCCTTTTCTGTCCAATTTCAAACCTCCTCCAACACTTTAAAATTTCAACTTCCACTGAGAGGAAGCCTGCCTCTCTGGAAGCCCCACCTCTGAATCCGCAGGAGTCTGCCCAGTGCTCTCCGCACGGGCAGGCTGGGCCTCTTATGTGGCTCTCTGGCCGGTGCAGTCAAGCAGATGCCCCCTGCCATGTCGTTTGCCCAGTTCATACCCTTCCTGGTGATGCCAAACCTTTACAGGCATTGCGGAGCTACTCCAGCAGTACTACTTAGTGCCAGGGACACAATGTGCGCTGTGGCCCCGCTTTCCTGGGAGAGCCTGGGGTGGGGGGGGGGCGCCTCAGCCCACCTCTGCCCTGCCCTGCTTTGTTGCTTTGTCAGGACTGAGGATGAAAGTGGGAACAGCGAAAGCAGCTTCTCTGTTTCCCTTCCTTGGGTGAATGTCTTTCAGGGGCTTCTTTCTCTCTGTGAAGCATTTTTTTTTTTTAATTTGGAGTCTTTTTTCTAGCTTAGGAGGCCATGTCTTCATTAGACAGGGATTGGAAATGGTTTCAATTCATGGGAATCAATGTCAGGAAGGTGTTAGTCATCTTATATTTGGAGGACATATTCACCTGCCTCCCCTCCTCCCGTGCACACCCCCTCTCAGATGAAGGCCCCCTCTAGGAGGAGCCCTCCATCTGTGAACCTCCACTGCCTCCCCTACCTGCCTAGCTCTTCTCTGGACGGCTGCTCTCTGTCCCTGTAGCCCCCCGTGAGCGTGTCCCAGGGACGTGGTTAGGTTGTCAGCTTGTGACCACAGTGGCTTCTCTCACTCATCTTTGCTGTTGTCTGCAGGGCCCAGCATGTGGTACGCGTGCATTCCCACAGACCCACAGACCTACTCCCTGCCTGGCTAACTGCCGTGTCCCCAGACACAGAACGATCCCTAGATAGAGAAAAATAATCGCTCTGTGAATGAATGAATGCCTCAGTAAATATTGGCTAATGAATACAAATAGCAGTCTCTAAGGCAGTAAAAACCAGAGCTATCACAGTCTTTGGAGAAGGGTCCATTTCACCTAAATAATTTGTAATCATGACTCTTCCCACACTTCATGCATTAAAGGACCCGGCCTGTTGGTCTGATGCCTCCTGAAGAGCATCATGGAAGGGCCTTTCTGCAGTGTTTGGAACTGACCCTGAAGCGCCCTGCTGCCAATGACCTTCTGCCCTTTCTTCCTCCACTTCAGTGGGGATGGGGAGTCAGTGAGCCAGCCCCAGCCCTCACCTCTGAACTTTTCCGTTTCAGGTTTGAGAACGGCAGTGAGTTTACCTCAGAGCTGGAGGATGGCGATGACCCAGCAGCTTATGTCACCAACCTATCCTATTACCACCTGGTCCCCTTCGAGACGGACATTTTGGACTGAGTCTCTGTTGGGCCCCCACCGTCCCTCAACCCTGACTGCTGGGCAGTGGGCAAAGCCTCTGCCCCAGGCCTGGGCCAGGTGGTGCTTCTGCGGGGGACGGTGCCTGAGAGGCCCAGGTGTCCTGCCAGTGGAGCAGTGGAGTTTCCTGGAGCGAGAGCTGACCCTTAGGTCAGCCAGGTCATCAGAGTCCCACACAGCCTGCTGCTTCTGAGGGCTCTTCCCTCTGCACCCGACACTACCAGCCTGTGTCTGCACCCCTGGGACTCGCTCCCCACCCCCGTGTGGGAGACCTGTCACAAGTGCCTGCAGGACATGTGGGTGCCCTGGCAGCACCCAGGGCCTGGCCACGTTCCTCCTTTCTCTTTGACTGCTTCCTGGAGAGGAGCCTTCCTCTGGGTGCAGTGGGCCCAGGGCCGCACAGCCACCATCCCTCCCCACCATTCCTTCTCTCGACAAGCGCACAAAACATTGCCTGTGAGACTGTGTTGGGTTGCCAAGTTCTGGACGACATACGCAGGGAATGTTAGGTAATCCCGGATTTCCCTGGGAACCAGGATGTGTGGCTTTCATTTCTGTTTTTCACCTTCTATCTGGAAACTGTGGGTTTTGTGTCAGCCAAAGGGCCTCTTCACAGAAGGGTCATTGTGAATGGCGCGTATTGGCTGCGGGGACAGGGGAGACCATTGCCGAGCAGGTGCCGTGAGCGGGGACTGAGGAGTATTGATTCTTCTCAAGAGGAAGAGAGTTCCTGCCTGGTCCTGCCAGCACCTCTTCAGCTGGGCAGCGTGGGGTAGCAGTGTTCTAAGCCCTGGACCACGGGAAATTCACCTCTCCTGCTGCTTACCAAGCTCAATGATGTCATGGCCATATTGACCTGCAGCGGGGAATCAACAGGAAAGCACTGCATCTCCTCTTAGCCCCTGAGCAGGTGGGTCTGGGTTCTGTGTGCTTATCTCCTCATGGTGTCTACTAATGACCAACGTTTGCTAATGTAAATACTAGTAAATTATTGAGAATCCTAATTCTTTTACACAGTCTGTTTTTTAATCTATTTTAATTAAATAAAGTGTATTACTCTACTCATGGATTGAAGATGTTTGGTGTGTCAAGGTATGGCTCTTTTTATTCTTTGTGGCCTCAGGGCTGGCCACGGGGCACTCTGGTCTCATTGTTCTGTAGGAAATATGTTCTGTTCTCACCCTAGGGAATAATCTGTCCAAAATGAAAAGTGAGTAAACAGTTTGTGTTTTGTGTTTTTTTGACTTTGGGTCATCTGTCCACCTTCTCCATGTTCCTCTTGGAAATCCTAGGAAATCTCCGTGACCCAAGTGTATAGCATATGGAATTTCCATGCAACCTGCATTTCCCTCTGCCTTCCAGCTGCCTTCAGTTTAATGCACTCTGTTTTCAAGTAGGCTGTTGGGTGACTGATGGGGGTTGACCAGTTGCCTTTCTTCTCTTCACGGTGAATTCCATTCTGTCCAAGGATGGGGCTGCTTGCCTGACAGTTAAGACTAGAATCAATCACCACATTTAGTGAATCACTACCTACATTTCAGTTGTTGACCTTCATTATCCCTGTTCCCCAGAAGCGCTTCTCCCTTCTATCCAGCCACTGTCAGGCGGCTGCCTTTGCTTCTCAGCTGACTTGGATGGTATTTCCCCATCAGGTCCCAAGGTTGGCTCCATGAGACCTCTCTCTGCCTTCACTGAAGAAGTCTCACTGTTTCCATTTAGCACACCGTGAGATTTCTCAACTAAGGGTCAGATGTTGGGATATTTGTTTCCTATGAAGCACATCAGAATATTCTCTGGCTTCCTTTTTTTTTTTTCCTGGAAAAACACAATGTAGCCTCATTCTTCATGTTCCCACAATTGAAAGAATCAAAAGTACAAATAAATATTTCCTTAAGTGGTTTGGTAACTGGTTGCTAGCACTTGGCCTTCGCTACTGGAAGGTCACTGGGGAGTGGTGGGGACTGGAGCAAACACACAGCTCGTGCACTGTAGAAAGGGAGCCATTCCCATTGCTTTGTTTAGCTGACTGTTCCACCCAGTAGTGTGAGCCCAGTGTGGCCAGTTCTCCCAGTTTTTCAGTAGGAGCTGGAAATTGGGACTTTTTGCATGAAATATTCCAGTTTTGAAGGGTTACAAAAAAACCAGCAGAGACGAGAATTTTTTCCAAGTAAAAGAATGAGGAACTTTGAGCTTCTAAACCATCAGTTCAGAGAATCAGCAGCAGAGGAGTTCAAGTTCATGTGGGAAGTTTGCACTCTTGCCCACACGTTTCTCCAGACACTGCTTTAGAACAACCTGCCTCTCATCTTATTTCTTCTGTGACACGTCTCTTGTGCTGCCCTGGTAACCAGGAAGCCCTTGGCAGAGGTGGCATGGACACTGCCCTTTATTACTGAATCGTGAGAACCACTGTCAAGAAATTCATTTACTCCTCTAGAGAGGCCCTGAGAAGGGGTATGCAGTTAAAACAATTATTTGGCAAATCAAATGAAAGTTTCCTAAGTTTTCTATTCCAAAGGAACTTTCAGCAAAGGCTAGTTAGAGGCAGGACTGGGCGGGGGGTGGGGTGGGGGGGGCTGTCTTCTGCTCTTTGTGTTGTAAATAGATGCTGTATTTCATGGAGGACCTTTGCTTGAAGTGAGGATGCACAGTGAGGACATGATCTAGGTCTGCCCTCTGATGAGCCTGCAGAATTGACATGCTGGGCAGAACGTGTCCTTGCTGTGGGACAGCAGACAAGCACAAGCTACCTGGTAATTGAGCAGACTGGGAGCTGATTAATAACCACACAGTTCTCACAGATAGAACATTCATTAATAGAAATATATGCAGCGGTGTTGGCAGCCAAACCGCCCTTAGCAATGCATCCTCACCTTGGCTGCGTTCTCCTGCTAGGGAAAGAATGCACTCTTGGTCTTCATTTAAGAGGGCATTCTGTCAAATTACAAGCATTTTTATTGCAGGTGACATTTCTGACCCATGTCGGGTGCGCTAATGTGTCCCCTGCAAATCAGTATTCTACTCTAGGCTCAGACTGTTTTAAAATGTAGATTTTATAGGGGGGAGGGGCTGTCTGCATGGTTTAGTTGGTTAAGAGTCTTACTCCTGGTTTTGGCTTAGGTCATGATCTCATGTTTCATGGGCTTGAGACCCGCATCAGGCTCAGTGCTGCTGGTGTAGAGCCTGCTTGGGATACTCTTTCTGACCCTCCCTTGCTCTCTCTTTCTCTCTCTCTCTCAAAAAAATTAAAATATAGATTTTATGATTATACAAGTATGGCAAGGCCACCAGATCAGATGATTGCCACTGAAAAGATAGTCTGTTACTCACAGATCCCAAGAGGAGGAAGGCTCAACACCACACTGGGCCACATGGAAAGACACTAGGGCTGGTCAGGAGGCACAGAAGGGAGGGCCTGGGGGCAAGAGCCTTTTTGTGATTTCTACAGACAGAAACAGAGGCAAGGTAAGCAGCTTTAGGATTGGCTAGGTTGAATAATTTCAGTGGGCTCTGGGGCATAAGGGCTGTCTCTACTTGTCGGATATCTGGCCTCGGGATGTTTAGGGCAGGTGGACAGTGGCCTAAAGTATGAGAGCCCATAAAGGAGGTGGTGGGGTTGTGAGTTCTGCACTGGCTGGTTTGCGTATGAAAGGTGTGCTCAAAGGCAAGTTGTTTACTATCTCTAGGAATTGGTCAATCCTGGGAGGGACGGCCTCTCCAATAAAAACAAGATCCCAAGATGTCTAAGCATCAAATATAGAAACTAGAAGATGCTATTATTACACATATTAATCCCTATAGGTCCTTGGTCTACAGAGGGATCTGATTTTATCCCCTGATGAGGAGAGAAAACCAAACGTGTGGCATGACTTTGTGCTTCATGCAAAAATCTTCCAATAGGTACAAGGCTCCATATAGATATAGATATTACTTTTTCTTAAATCTTTTTTAACTTATTTATTTATTTTGAGAGAGAGAGAATAATCAGGAGAAGGGCAGAAAGAGAGAGAGACAGAGAATCCCAAGCAGGCTCTGCATCATCATCACAGAGCCCAATACAGGGCTTGATCTCATGAACCGTGAGATCATGACCTGAGCTGAAATCAAGAATCAGACGCTCAACCAACTGAGCCACCCAGGCCCATAGATGTTACTTTTTTCTTAATTTCAGTGGGTAATATATTTCTGTGGTGCAAAACTCAAAATGATTTGAAGGGTTTAGCACAAAACGTATCACTCCTATTCCTGCCCCTAACCTATCTTCCTTAATTCCAATTAATTTCTAGTGCAGAATTCTAATATTTCTTTATGAAAATACCAAACAAATATAAATATACCTATTTTTTTACAGTAACTAAAGAAGTCTTCTTAAGTCTATATAACTTAGCATTCATGGTCAATAACAATGTGTCTTGAAGCACTTCAGAATTCAGTGGTCTGCTCAAGCTTGATAAATTTTGCCCCTAATCAAAGAGGGTGAACAGCTAACAGACTTGGCAGGGACTCAGTGTATCAAATCTTAGACATGCCTAATTTTATTAGATTGCTGGGCACAGCATTAGAATTTCTCTTATTTGCTCCTGTCTGTATTTGCAGGTTGGGGTGAAGATAGGGGTAGTAGGACTTGGAAGAAGATTGTGAATTTGCCATAACCTAGGGGCTGCCCTTGGTCTCCAGACAGTAAATCTTGAGAGCAAATTTTTCTTCTGTGGGCATATTCACATTAAACAATCTTGAGACAGATGTCTAAACACCAAAGTGCCTGGCCATTTATTTATTTACAACAGAGACAACTGATCCAGGAATCAGAATCTTTAGAAGTTATGGCTGGCTCGTGCATTCACTTCTGCTCCTGGCAAGTGGGAAAAGTTGAATAATGATCTAAAGCTTGTTCATGAATATGGAAATTAGAAGAGAGGACATTAATTATATTAAATGCCACTAGAAATAACAGTGGGACCAAGACTAGAGTTTTATGGAAGGCATTTTGACACCAGAGTCAACAGATTAACAATTTTTGAAAGTAACTACTCTATGTTTTTTTTTTCTCATTTCTGATTTTTTCTCATTTCACTTGTCTGCGGACAAGTGAAAATTTGTCATAGACAAGCAATGAATTATTGGAAATCCAAGAGTTGAATGAAGAGACAATAGAGATGGCCTCACTGATGTTATAAGCAGTAACATCTCCAAAGTCAGGATGGCCTTGCCTGCCTGACTCAAATATTCAGAGGAGGATTATGGGAGGGTAGACTGTCTTCTTGGTCCTGCAGCATCCTTGCTCAACAGGGAAACACTTCCCCAGGAAGAGTTTGCTGGTAGGAGGTGGGGGCGCATAATTTTTCATCCTTTATGTTCTTTTGGATGGAATAGTTATGGCTTTCTACTGGACCAAACGCTTGGTCAAGAGTATTTTGGGTTGATCAAGATTTCTCCACCGGTTGGTGATTGGTGGGCACTGAACAAATTTGCTTCTGCAATGCTATTGTGGCTGACTGCACTTCTCTAAGACACATCCTTTCTTCAGACACTTGAATATAATCAGACATTTCTTACAGTCAAGTCTTGGGGTCCATTCTTCCTATTAAAGGAGAATTAGCATATCTTAATTCTAATAAATTGTGTTAACTTTGGAACTTTGGAATATAACTCACAATGGCAACCTTTTATTCTTATTTGATTTTATTTTCTGAGCAGATATTATTTGTACTTGATACAAAATTCAAAATAATACAAAGTGATGCTTCTTGAAACACAAGTTCCTGCTCATCCTTATGCCCGAGCTACCCTAGGGACCACCATTATGACCAGTTTCTTGGGTATACTCCAGAAGTATATATGAATGTATATATACGTTTAACGTATGCACCTGTCTCTTTAATGTGTGCACATCTTGGGGGTGATATGAGGACCTTATGGGCCACAGTAAGGCATTGGCTTTACTGTGCTATGGAACCCTAGGGGGAATTTAAACAGAGGAGTAATAAGATATGAAGTATATAAGAGTCATTCTGGCTGCTGGGTAGAGAATACGACTGAGGGGCCAGAGTCAAAGTAGGGAGACC